GGTTTTCTCTCCCTGCTTTAATTTCACCATCGTCATCGTCTCCAAGAGAACCCATTTTAATTCATCTGCAAAAAAAAAAATCCCACCTTTTTAAAACCCTGGAAATATCAGTGTGTGATTTTTTTTTAACAAGCAATAAAAACAAAGTTGCCCGAACCTGATCAAACTAGAGCAAAAAGGAATTAATTAAAAAAAAATGCTTTCTTGACAACAGGAGAAGAAGAGAGATTGGTGGTGGAGGGTTAGGGTTAGAAAAGTGGAGTGAGCATTGAGGGGGGAACAGAGGAAGATTTTGGAGGGAAAATTAATACTGTGTGTGCGTGTGTGTGTGTGTGTGTGAGTGTGCGGATTTTACTTTAACAATTTCTTTTTAAAAAACAAAATTAGGAGAGGTCCTAATATTGACGTGGAAAAAACACCAGAATTAATTATATTTTTGCTATATTGTATTTAAATTAGTAAGAGCTCTTTATTTTTTATTTTTAGATTAATTACATCAAATCTTTTATTATTTATTTATTTATTTAGAAATTACATTTTACATTATAAATCTAAATAGTTTTTAACCTGAATAAAATATAAATTACCCTCACGTCCAGTATAAAAAAAATAAAAAACATATGCAAACAATATAGTAATATCTCTCTCATGATTTTTCTCTTTTCATTCTTAACTTCTCTCTCTTTTATTTATGTCAATTTAACACGTAATATAATTTAATTTTAAAAATATTTTTTTATCTAAAACAATATCAATTAGATATTAAATTGGCACATGATTTAATTTAAAAAAAATATTTTTTTTATCTAAAACAATATCAATTAGATATTTTTTAATAATTTTAATATATTAATGTTAAAAATAAAAACATTATTTAAATTTTTTTTAATTAAAAAATATTTAAAAAAATAACATCTTATTATTTTTTAGTTTTATTAACAAATTTTTGGGCATGATTTTTATGGTTTGGGATGTTAACATCATGGTAGTTGTGATATTTTCTAGTTGTGTACACGTGCTCTTTAGCCACGATTCTCAAAATTACTGTTAGGTTTTTAACAGTAAAAAAAATTAAGTTATAACTCTATTTTTATCCACACATCTTTCAATCAACAACTCTTTTATGTAGAAAATAATATAATTAACCTTTGCAACATATAAATTAAAGTGATATATACTAAAAAATGTCAGTGGATCAACCACTTACCAACTACATGTTAACAAGTATGTTAAAAATCTTTCTCCTTGGTATTTCATGTGTCGATCAAGGAAAGCTTTATAAAATCTTAAATGACTGATGTGCTGTTAAGGAGCTTTAAATAGTGTTTAAAGGATGGTGATTTGAAGTGTTTTTTATTTAAAAATATATTAAAATAAATATATTTTTATTTAAAAAATATTTTTGATATTAATATAATAAAATAATATATTGTAATCTTGGAAATGACAAAAAATATTTTGCTTTTAGAGATATTTTCGTATTTTATTTTAAATTTTTATATTGAAAAGTTATTAACATGTGTTTCACTTGCACCAACAATTATGTAGCATTTATGTAATTTAGGTAGTGCTTATAACATCTGGTAACTAGATTTGATTATTTATTGTCTCTCTAAACACGCAATCATGTATTTTTCCACATGATGTAACGTGTGTAATTTTATAATAGTTAGATTGCTACTAGTAATCAATTTTTTTATTTTATTTATCCTAAAAACTAAAGTTTATAATTGTTATCTTTATTTGTTATTTTTAATTTTAGTTCTCATTCATTGAATTTTGTTATTCCATCCTTGATCCTTTTTATGTATTTTTTTTTAATGTTATCATTCAATTACAATTTCTTATATGTTTTGTTTTTCATTTCAATTATTGTTCTTTTAATTTTTTATTTTATTTTTATTCTTTTTATATTTTTAGCCCTACTAAATTTGTGTCTATTTTCTATTGGTGTTTCAGAATTTATCCTCTTGGTTTTTATTTTTTATTTTGGTCCTTTTCTATTTTATTTGAGTTTTATTTGTTTATAATCTAGTCCTTCAATTCTAATTTATGTATGTTATATTTCTCAATTTAGTCCTTCTACTTTTGATTTCTTATTTTCTCCCCTGGTTTCTTTTATCAGAGTTTCTATAGTTTTTAATTTTACCTTTCAAAACAAATTTATAGTTTTTTTTTTCTAGTGATAGTAATATTTTTTTAGTCTGGTCTTTTTTGTTTGATTTCTTATTTATTTCACTTGTCATTTTGTCAAAGTTTTTATGATTTTTTTATTTTATTCTTTAAAACAAGTTTATGATTTTTGTTATTTCAATAATAATAATAATTTATTATAATAGTTGTAGTGGTTATGATATTAATAATTGCAATAATAATAGTAATAATAGTAACAATCATGATAATTATATTATTAATTATGTAAATAGTAGCAATAACAATAACAATAACGATATAATAATAATAAGCGATAGTAATTATGATTGTGATGACAATAATAATAATCATGGTTATAATAGCAATAACAATAATAAAAATAATGACAAAAATAAAAACAATGACAATACTAATTATAGTGGTGGTGATAATAATAATAACAATAATATAAATAGTAATAACAATAATAATAATAACGACAACAATTATGGAATTATGATATTACTCATTGATAATCATAATAATTGTGATAACAATGACAGTGATAAGGATAATGATTGTAATTGTTTTTTATTGTTCTAGCTTTAGATTTTTAGAAAATTAAGGTAATGCTATTTTTAAACAATCTAGAAGCTTGTGGAAATTAGTTTTTAATAGAACACAATTTAAGAAAAAAGAAGCGAGCTAAAAAAACAAAGATGGTGTTAATTGAATTCACAAGAAAAAATACATCTTGGTTCAAATATTTTTGGATGAATTATTTTTTATTCCTTGAATTTTAGGATATTTTGTCATGGTCTAAAGTTTTATTTATTAATATTTCAGCCTTCGTATCTGAAATAAAACAGAAATTCATTGAAAAATAAAGAAAAATAATAAAAATAGTTAGTTAACTCATTCAAGCAACAAAAAATGATAGTTTTTGTGTTGATAGCTTTCAATTGGAAAGAGAAATGTTATTTAAATGCTTTTTTTTTCATCTTGCTGAAAAATTAGATCAGGATTGAGAAATTTTTTTATTAATTCAAGTTATTTTATTACAAATTAAAGGGTGGCTTGAGGTTATAAATGTGCTAATTGAAGTTTTTAAAGTGTTTTTTAGAGGTGTTTTTAATTAGAAAAAAATTAATTTTTTAATAAAAAAATGTGAAGCTGGCTTTCTAGTATATCTCTTTAAGAATATTTATGAAGAATGCGACAATTACTATGAAATGTGGGTTATGCTCATGGTGTGATGGGCTACAAAAACAGCGTTATGGGCTATTTGAATTTTTTACCTTGCAAAAAATCACCTATAGATTAAAAAAACAATTGTTCTATTTATTATTTTTCAATTGAAAAAGAGCAGAAAACTTGTAAATGAAAACTTAAAACAACCTTTAAAACGTGTTCTTCAAACTCGGAATAAATTTGAAAAAGTGGATGAAGAAACTTGATGAAGTTCTAGTTTTTACTCCGGTCTTTGAGAAATTTTGTTTCTAAATAGCCCTCAATTTAGGTTTTTTTTTTTATAGAAATAAAACAAAAGGAGTGAATAAAAAAATGGTATAATTATACATCTTACATAACAATAATTATATATAAACATACTTTCATAGCATATTATTATAATTGAATGATGATAAATCTATCTAAATTATTATTATAATTGGACGATCATCATTATAAATATGTCTATGTCTAGATTGATTTTACTAGCTATAAAAAAGAATTATATAATTACAATTTATAAAATAACTTAATGATACAAAGTTCAATAACTATTCACATGATCATTAAATGATTTTTTTTGTAAATACATTTTATATCTTCATATAAAATTCTTAATTAGGTTAGTTTAGTGCTAAATAGTAGTTATAACAATGTCTCGTATATCAGTTTATAAAAACAACTATTTTTTTATAATTAAAAATTAGATGATCACATCACATAAAATAACTTAATAATCTCAAGTTTAATAACTATTTATACTATCATTAAATAATTTTTTCTATAAACATGTGCGATATTTCTATAAAAAATTTCTAATTAGATTAGTTCAGTACTACATAGTAGTCACAACAATCTCACACATGTTAGTTTATAAAAATAATTATTTTTTTATAAATAAAAATAATATAATATGCATTAATCTTAACAATTATAATCAATGTTCAATCTTAATATAATATTAATTAGAAACACTTAAAATAATGATTGAGCATAATAAAAATTTTATAATTATAATCAATTTATAATTTTCCTTATTTGTAATATTTTTTTTACTCTTGACTTGTTAATCAAATACAAATAAATATTAAAAATAATTTTTTTTTTTATTGATAATAAATATGTTTTATATAAAAAAAGTTTTTATTGATAATAAATATGTTTTATATATATAAAGTTAATGTTATATATAATTAATTAATTTATTACAAGACATCATCCCTAGAACCAAGTAGAGTATCTTTACCTGGATATAAATCGGAATACTTATTTAAATAAATGAATATAATTAATAAATCGGAATACTTATTTAAATAAATGAAGATGGAGGGGAAAGAAATAAGATCATCAAACAAATTGGAGGTTATATGTTAAAAAAAAAAATTTTTAATTTATAAAATAATTTTTAATATTAGTATATAAAAATTATATAAAAATTAAAAAATTATCTTCAAGTGATTTTTTTTTTTAAATACAAAAGTAAAATAGCTTTACGTAGCTCATTAGTTTGAAGGAGAGAATCGTTACCCCTTCAGGAATAAAAAGATCAATCTGAGAAAAAAAATAATATATAAATACTGATTAAATAATGTTTTAGAACTCAAGGGACCATATAAAAAATGATTTTTACCCATCACATGGCACCCAAAAGATATTATGCTCTTTCTCTGTCTTTTTGACGGCTCTGAGTCTCAGCTTCGCGCTTTTTTGTAAAACCCTAATTTTCACTCGCTCAGTCATCCATTGCAGCTCCTCCTCCTCCTCCTAAACATATAAATACAGTAAAAAATATAAAAATCAAAATAAAAATCAAAATCGATCGAGGTTTGAACAATGGAGATTCAAAAACAAAGCAAACAACAACAACAAGAGTTTGCTTTAGCATCAATAACCGAGCTTGCTTCTTCTTCTTCGACCTCGTCGTCTTGTTCAGGTTCTCAATCGGTACCGGTAATTGCTAGGTTTAGCGCCGAAAATGGAGTTGCGGGGCTTCGATTTAACCGAGACTCTGAATCAACTGATTCTATCAGTGTTGATGTCAGAACTACTCAGGTCAGTCAGTGTTTGTTCTTAGTTTCCTTTTAATTTTACTTTAGTAATTGTTGTTTTGGTAGTTTGTGCTGTTGCTAATTGGTAGAAATAATAATGGTGAATTTTATGGATTAGATAAGATATATGAGTAATGATGGTGTTTTTTCCTCTTTTTTTTTGATGTTGTTCAGTTATTCAAGCTAGGGCCTTTACAATCAGTTTGCATAGCTGAAGCTTCGGGTGCTGGCACGGGAAAAGAAGTACGGAGTTTTATTCTTGTTCAAATTATGTAGTTTTTTTTTATTTTTTAACTATATGCAGTGAAAGGGGACCTGTTTTTTTATTCCTGTCTTATTTCACTTGTTTAGTTAGTAGGGAAATTGGATCTCGTGTTATGTGGATGCTTGTATCTCTTCTCTTTAAATACACATGCAAATTGCAAGATGTCAATACCCCATTGCCACGAGTTGTTTTTCTATGTACTTGGCTGGTGATTGGTATTGCAATGCATGATGTAGCTTTTATGTTCATAATGTTAACAGTATTACTTTTTACCAGAAATATTCAACAGGAGTCAATGTCCAATTTAGAAATGAGGAGGAGAGCAGGGCCTTCCATTGTGCATTTGAGCAATGGAAGAAGAAAGACACTGTTCAAGGTGCTGCTTTGGAAATTTTGTCACAGTTTATTATAGATAGTTGCCTGGTATAATATGAAGATACCCCCTTGTCACATATCCTGATTTCCCCCTACTTTTCCTCTCCCTCCCTCTCTTCTCTAGAAACTCATGTCTTTTGATTGCATCACTTTGATAGTGGTTATTTGCTATAAGTTTCCCTATAAATAAATCCATGCAGAATCATGGAAGTTGGAACTCCAAGATGCATTAAAATACTTAATGCAACATTTATTAACTGTGAAATTTTGTAATGGATTTTGTCCATGAAAAGCCCTTAACCTTAAAAATGGAAAAATAATATCCATTTTGCACTTTGCATCTAGATGAGGATTTCAATTTCAATTTACTCCATCTAGCTTTCTAAGCAATTTGGAAGTTCTTTCCAATCTAAACAGAACAGACAGATGTCATGTTAACTTTCCTTATGTTTTGTGAAGTTGTCAGAATGACCTGCTTTCTAATCCATAAGTACCTGCAATTTGCTTCTGAGTGTTGGCTATTTTCTTTTCCAGGAACATTGATGCCTAATGGAGCAGTCACGTCTTGTAAAAGCAAGTTTGAAGATAAAATAGAACCATCATCTGCCAAAATGTATTTCCATTATTATGGGCAACTGCTACATCAGCAAAACATGATGCAAGATTATGTGAGGACAGGTTAAATTGCTAACTATTCTGTTACTCCTTTCTATCTTATCGTAGATGTTCACTTTCAATTTATTAAGCTTGACAAAGCCCTCACAAATCACGATGTTCACTAGTTTGCTGCATGTGCTCAAAATGCAAAAATTCTATGATGGACTTGTAATTTGAGTCAGATGGTCAGTGTGACAATGTAAGCAAAATTAATGTTTCAGGAACCTATTATGCTGCAGTCATTGAGAACCGTGCAGATTTTTTTGGTCGTGTGGTGGTTGATGTCGGTGCTGGTAGTGGTATTTTGTCATTATTTGCTGCTCAGGTATACTTATCTTTTGACTAGTTGAATTTATTGTTCCCAGTGCAAAAATCTTGCATATCTGCTTTTCTGGATGTGCCTTTACAAGCTGATTATGTGTTCCCTTTCTCCAATCAGGCTGGTGCAAAGCATGTCTATGCTGTGGAAGCATCTGAAATGGCAGAATATGCCCGGAAACTGATTGCTGGAAACCCATCACTTGGGGAAAGGATAACAGTGAGACTTTGCTATGTACTTCAATTTTTTTTTCATAAATGCTGTTTATCTCATTTTGCTCAAGTCAATATCATGTGAATGTAGGTAATAAAGGGTAAAGTTGAGGAAGTTGAATTGCCAGAAAAAGCAGATATTCTAATATCTGAACCAATGGGTAAGTTTATGCACCATCTTTACTTTTCCATTCCAGTGGATGATGAAATTTTCTAATAATGCTGAACACCCTTTTTTCATCGATGGGTTTTTCTGCTCTGTTTATTTTAAGCCTCAAATGCCCCTTCTCCTGCTGGTATGGGGATGAGTTTTGTCAGCAAAAAGATGAAGAATGTTTCCAGGATTGAATGAATTGAGAGATAATATCCTGAGTGCTTGTAGATAGCAAGTCCAAATTTATATTTTTCTTGAATTTTTCTGGGACTTGTCTTGTAGGTACCTTGTTAGTCAATGAAAGAATGTTGGAGTCCTATGTGATTGCAAGAGATCGTTTTCTTGTTCCAAATGGAAAAATGTTCCCTACAGTTGGAAGGTGAATAGTGACTCTCCAATGCTCCCTTTCTGCTTGATTTATTAGATCTTGGATGCATTTTGTATAAGAATAATTGACTCCTACATGACTCTGGTTGTTGCGATCCTACTGCAAAGTTTTCTTCTTCTCGTGCAATTGCTAGATGACTTCCAATTGGAAAGTAACCTCATGATTATGGTGGCGTATATCTTCATCTACATCTTCTTGTTTCATGTAAAATTTGTAGGTAATGTCAACTTTTTAATGATTTTGCCTGATGGTTTCGCATGCCCCTTCTACTCCATTTCCTGATTTGATGGACAAATTGGGTTCCCATTTTTCTTCCACTTAAGTGATGACACCATCCAGTCAACTCTTTTGACAGTTTCTTCCCCTTATACTATGTCTCTTTACAGTTCTTCTTGTAAAGTCAGGTTAAGGTATGTTTTGATTTGAAGTTTGTTCCTGGCATTTGGAATCTTTCAGGTCATGAAGCGTTGTTAGTAATGCTTGGATTTTGTTTTCTTATTAGAGACAGACTTGTAATATATGCTTCTTGTTGCCACCAGCTTTCAGAATGTTATTTTTTTTCTAGAAAAATAAAATCATAAATCTGTACATAACTGCATGCATTTTGTTTATTTTTCCAATGTAAATTACTCCTGATGGTCTCTGTATAATTTTTTTTATCTTTATGCATGTATTCTCGCATGCTCCAGGATACCGTTTCTGCAAACCCAAATTTAATTGATCTTTTATTTTAGATTTTATTACTTAAAATTGCTTGCTTTTGCAGGATACACATGGCACCTTTTAGTGATGAATACTTATTTGTTGAAATTGCGAATAAGGTATGTACCTGGATCAATTATGCTGAAGTCATTCTATGAATAACTTGATGCAGCCTGTGCACCTCTTTGTAGCAGTGTGACAATTTCAAAAAAGTCATGACTGATTGGTTGATTTCTTATTTTATATGCCTAAGCTTTGCAGCAGTGTGACAATTTCAAAAAGTCATGACTGATTGGTATATGCCTAATCTTTGTAGCAGCGCAACAATTTCAAAACGTCATGACTGATTGGCCGATTTCTTATTTTATATGCCTAATGTTGCAATGCTAGTCAAGTTTTCCCATTGATATCACGAGTTCTCTTGAGTAAACTGTTGTCCATTCATACCATTAGTGTGTGTTGAAATAAATGTGTGTGTTTTTCTTATTATTGGTTTTCTCGATGCAGGCCCTCTTTTGGCAGCAACAAAACTATTATGGTGTTGATCTGACACCCTTGTATGGATCTGCATTTGGGGGATACTTCTCTCAGGTCTCTTTAGATTTCATTTTTCTGGCCTTGATTGAAACATTAAATTACATTTTGTTTGACTTGCTTGGATATGCTCTCATCCTGTTTATAAACCAAAGCATTCATGTTTTCTGTGGAGAAAATACCTTCTTAAGTGATTACTTCTGATTCTGTGATATCTGCACCATCTTTTGTGATCATTTTTCTGATCATCTGAGTACATGCAGCCTGTTGTAGATGCTTTCGATCCAAGATTATTGGTGGCTCCTACAATTTGTCATGTTTTAGACTTTACTGAAATGAAGGTATAGCCGTACCCTTTATTCTTGTGCAGTTGCACTTCTTGTTAGCTGTTTTATATAATGCCTGCTCATTAAGAAAAATGATTATGATTTTATCCTCCTAGTTTTGTTTCATCTTGAATTCTTCAGTTTTAGCATACATTTTGTTTAAAAAGTTTCTGCTGCACAACAACCTCCTCTCTTTGGAATCTATACAGTTAGAACTAGTGGCTTTGTATTCCACCTTAGGGTGCATTGCCGAGTGCTGTACACCTGAAACAAGTTTTGCTTCCAAAGCTTTTAGATCTCCATTCTTTCTTGATGAGTGACTCTTGTTCCTTTCTCCATGATGAAGTTACTGCCTTGACATTTCTTGGTTCAACTCATCAAAACTTTTCTACTTTTCTTCTGCAGGAAGAGGATTTATATGAGATTGTTATACCTTTGAAATTCATAGCCTCTGTAGGAACTAGAGTTCATGGTCTGGCCTGCTGGTTCGATGTGTTATTTAATGGGAGGTGAGTACTCGTCCCTGATCTTCTTACCTTTGTTTTAGCTTGCATTTTACACCTGCAGTATGCTTTCCTTGTTACATGTTTCTCATCCCACAAATTTATTGGCTTCATACGGGAATCACCTTGATCTGCAGTACTGTACAAAGGTGGCTTACAACTGCCCCTGGTGCGCCTACCACCCACTGGTACCAGTTACGTTGTGTTCTGTCTCAGCCACTCTATGTGATGGCAGGGCAAGAAATTACTGGCCAGCTCCGGATGGTTGCCCACAATGCTCAGAGTTACACTCTATATTTAACTTTGTCAGGTTGGTTTTTGTCTTCTCATGTTTGTCTTTCTGATTTGTTTTCTTCCTTTTCTAACAAATTACGATCAACTCTAACAGCTAAAATGTGGGGCCCTGGTGCTGAACAAGGAGGAATACTTCAGACATCATCATGCAAACTCGATCTAAAAGAACCATATTACAGGATGTCCCAACCACAAGCTTATGCAATGGCACAAGATCAGCAACCACACCAGCCAATACACACTCAGGTGATGACCTAATTATATCATCAGCTTTAATCTTTATGATCAGTTGGTTAGGAGAAGAAAATATGCACATTGAATTATCAAACACAGAATCCGATGCTCCAAATCTATGAAATTATGCACCTTAGGTTACCATCTTTACGTCAAAACAGTTTCCAATACACCTCTCTGAATGCAATGGTATGTAGAAAGGTGAACGCTGTAAGGCCTTCCCACTGCCGTGTGAATTGTACATAACTTGGCCACCCTTTGGGTGAAGTTTTGGGTTTTAGGCTTGTTGCCCACTAAGGGTATTCTATTTTGACCTGCAATGATGCACATGCGGTGTGCTCTTTCCTTTCATGACATATGGCTTGGAACATGCAAAGCGTCCATATATAACACTTGAATAAACTGACCACCCTAGTGTAACAGTTTCATAAGAAGAATTAGAGGAGATATTAATGAAAACTCTTGATAATTGGATAAAGAATTGCTTATACTTGTAACTTATTACCTGAGACAACTAGTCTTGAGTTTTCATCTTCTTACAGGATATACACATTCAAGCAGCGGATGATTTAGAGGAGCCCGAGTTGATACAGCCACCACCTCAGAATTTGGATGGCCAGCTCCAGTAAGTTAATAATGGAGTCTTACAGGCTTGTGACAGTTTTTAACATGGCATATCTTTGTTACACATAACTGCTTCACCTATGCAAGGGTCCTTCATTTATTAATTGAACTCCCATCCTCCCTGCCCCGTTCAGTTCCCTTGTAAATTAGATAAAATCTGAAGAGTTTTTTTCAAATTTATTGCTTTCAGTGGTTACATTGTGGATCCTGTTTACCATTTCATAATTATTTTAGCGGGTTTAAGTAATAAAAAATCTCCATCTTGGTCCACCACAAAATATAAATTCGAGACGGTGTTAGTCTCGATGGAAAGCAACAATCCGTTCTGGGAGCATTTCTTGTTTCAATGCTCTGCTAATAGGTAGAACCTAAAATATTTGACTACCAAAAAACTTGCAGAAATGAATTTTCAGTTGGGTTTGGTTTATGATAAAAAAAAAAGAAACCAATCAAACTAGATTTTTTTTAATATATTCGAAGCCGAAACTGTTTGTTTTTTTTTTTTAAATAAACGGGTGGGATTTATAGTCAAATCTAGTTGCTTAATTTGTTTGGTTTATCGTGTTTTTAATTAGGCTATTTAAATCTTCATGGATTTTTTTTATAGTTAAATTCAAAATTTTCCTTTTTTATAATAGGACATTCATGTCAGGTTAAAATTCTAGAAGTAGCCCAAACCAAATCATCTTGCAAGTATTTCTATAGCTAATGAAAACATAAAAAGTATTTCCTAAGCATCGTGCAAATACAAGAAATAGTTACCCAGTGACGTGTGAATCACATCCAGATGTACTGGTGGCGCTTGTCAAGACACTAGAGATTGAGGGTTGGCCGTGGATGAGGTAGATTGAGAGGATAGTGAGACAAAGACCAGCGATAGCGGATGGCGAGCCGGGGAACAAGCGACACAAAGCAGGGGAGGCTGTTTCTGGCTTTGCGATCACTGATATAGTACTGAAAAACTTTTACTGTTTATTCTTTTTTCCCCCCTTCAGTCCTGCTGTATGGTTTTAAACTTTTAGAACTAGACTGGTTTTTCTTTTTTTCTTTCTCAATTTGATTTTTTTTAAAATATCTTTTTATCTATTTTCTTGACATAAATTGCCTTTTCATTTTCTCTCTCTTAGAGATCATCAACCGATATTGTGATATTGTTTTAGTTATCAGTGTTGATTCTGGGTTTGGTTTGGAAAATTGAAAAAAATAATAATTAATAATCCAGGTTGATGGGTTACGGACTGCACCCTTGCGGGATTGAATGTTTTTTCCACTCAAATCCAAGCCCCGGGGTTTTTCTCATTCTGCAGCTGCTCAAGACATTCTTTTTAGCACATTATCAAAAACAAATTCCCAATTTCATTAGAGAGAGAATAAGAGAGTAACTCGAATACGCAACAAATATAGCCACCAAGAAGAAAAACATGTTTGGCTTGCATTTTTCTCTATCCAGCACGGTGCTGTACACCCTATTGATTGGCTGTGCCGCCGTCCAATGAAATCTACTTGATTTGTCAAAACTGTCACTTCATTGTCAAAACTGTGAAATGCATTAGCCAACTCAATTGAAAAGAAAGGCTATTAATTTTTAGTCATGTCCTTGCCTCATTGGCAACTGGGTGGGGTTGTATGCAGTCCAGCTTCTATTAATTTTTAGTCTCAGCAGGCTGCAGACACAGCAGGTTCTGGTCGGACAGCGACCACTTTATAACAGCGGCCACATAGTGTCGGATGCTCCACAAAGGAACCAACTTGAGGTGTGTAATTCCAACATCTTTCACATTTCAGGCCTTCTGCTCGTGACACACCAATCCAAACTCTTTCGCTTCCTTGAATGAGATATTCACCACTGTATGGAATAGCTTTAAGAACCTCATCCTCCACATGATGAAGCATCTCCGCCTGCACATTTCCATATAAATGACCCGTACCAGTTCAAGCAATAAGATACTGACACAGAAGGGAAATAGAAAATAGTAATTAAAGAAACTGATCGATTTTTTGTTCCGAACTTGCAGAAACTGATTGAACTTCAAAGAAGGAAGAGGGAAATTGAACGATCAATCTCTGACAACCCAAGATCCTTTATAAGGCAGCGAGGAAGAATACCAATGACATGTAGCGGCCACCAAACCCAAACTTTCACCTTCTAAGAGAGCCCTATCTCACTTCTACCACTCGAATCGAAGCCCAAGGGTTTTTGAAGATAGTTTTTCCCTGTCACTGCTCGAGTGACAAAAGGTTGAGTTAGGGTTCGTTCTGTTAGAAAGTGAACTGAAACTTTGGGTTTGGTGGTCTCTACATGTAACTGGGTATTCTTCCCTGGCTACACGAAAACAATTTAAAAGTACCATAATTGTGGATAGATGAATTGAACTACTCAGGTAACAGTAACTGTATATTGAAAAAAAGGGAATGAACATACCTGGGATGTTATGAATATGCGATGCAATGCATCAGCGTCATTGCTGGCCGTGCACATTTCATGTAATCTAGAAGCAAGGCTGGCGTCAGAAGTGTGTAGATAAACCTTTGCCTCCAAACTGGACCCAATCAACTTGCCTGTACGAGCAACCTCCAGAACTTTGTTCACCTCGGTTCTCAGCTGGTCAAATCATTTCAAGTTAGAAGCAAGTAAACATGATCAACGATATTCAGCAACTTTAAACTGTTGAATGAAACGACCGTGTGGTATTTCCTTTTGAAATAATGTAAAATAACCAACTAATACGCTGATCAGCATCGGCCTCATATTAAGCGCATGTTATGATCAAACATGAAGCCATTCAATTCATTAATTGCATATTTAAGTATCATAAATCATAACAATTGCACCCAAAATTCACAAGATAACCCAGAATCATAATGGAACCTTCGAATGATAATAGCTTGTTTGCTACACATGAATCAGGAAGGGGAATGGAGTGTTATATTGCCCTGGTGGTAGCATTGATGTTGATGGGTGGATGTGGCGACAGTGGCAGTGCTAGTGGGTGTCTGGGTGATAGCAAAATGGTGATGATGGTGGACATTAGCGACAGTTGTCACGGTGATGGCAGGGGTGGAACTACAGCTTCTATTGAGGGGGGAACCATGCCCCCTGCCCCCAAACAAATTTCTTCTGGTCTAGCTCTTCCTTGGTGGGTGGTGATGATGGACCTGGTTCTAGTGATACTTGTCATGGTGCAACTAGTGATAGATGGGGAAGATTTCCCAGGAATCTGATTCCGAACACCACGAAGGACAAGCAAAATGATCAAATTATTTGCACATAACTACAAAAGGACACAGACTTCGGAAAAAAAATAGAGAGAAACATCTTAAGGATCCCCCCCCTCCCAACCCAAAATTTGAGATAATTCAATAGAAAGATGAGAGAAATTAATGGAGTTACAGAATACTTCCATACCATTGTATTGTAACTTGCAACTCTTTACAGTTTTAGCATATGAGACAATCCATTGCTAATGAAATAAACTTGTGCTATCAAAATATTGCGTACAGCAAACAGAAGTAAACTTGAAGTTGAGGATCAACGCAAAAGAATGAATTGGCACCCGACATACAATGCACAGTTAGTATGTTATCATTAAGTGAAATGAGAGATTACCTCAAGAATTTTTCCCCAAAAGTCAATTTCTTCAATAGGAAAAGCAAGCCATTTTTCATTGGGAGCAGGCCACTTCGATTCAAAAACAAACTTGGCAGCAGAACCATCCTGGACAGTAAACTGAAATGGAAGATTCTGCCACACATCTTCAGCCAAATGAGGTAATATGGGTGCAATTACCCTCGCAATGGAAAGGAGATGTGCAGCAAGAACTGTTTGGCAACTTCTCCTTGTATGACTTGTTGTGCCCCTGAAAATCATTTACTTAGCTGTATAGAGTGACCTAGATTTGCAGTTTACACATGCATGACTTGAAGCGCTAAAGAAGACTTGTGGTGATGGGGAGCGGAGCAAGGCTTCTCTGAACATTTTTTGTGCATTTTTTTGTTGAAATTTTAGATGTATTAAACCCTTCAATATTAAATTTCTACTGATTACTAAAAGTCCCAAGCGATAAATCCAAATCAAACAATCTTGATCTGAGCATTCATATTTCCCTATCCAACATCATGTTGTAAGAGAAAAATGCATAAAACAAGATGAAAAAAGAAAAAAATGAAACGGGAAATTCCCATGATAATGTAAAACAATTGAAGAATTACCCAACATAAAGTCGATCTTTGGCAACATCAAAATAGAAATTGGATAGGTCAACAATAACAAACCGCTGAATGATCTGCAACAAAAATTACCCATTTAAGACAACCTAAAGGAAGCAAAGCAAGTTTGTGCATCAAATAAACAAAGGTCAAATTAAAATGATTAACAAATAAACATACAAAAATACAATTCCATGCGTTGTTGTGGGCCTACTTCCTCATCTCATGGCTTGAAGCTAACTAAATTATTTGTAATTCTATTCCTAAACCGATGTAGGGAAACTTTTTTTATATTCTTGACATAATAATGTTTATTGCATTATCTCATTAATGATTAACATGTTTAGTTTTTGAAGAATTTAAAAAGAATCTAAGAAGCATTTTAGTAAATTAAGCATAACTTTTAATTCAATCATTTAATTGATCTGAAATTTTAACAAAAGATTCTGATTGCCCTGTTTCTTATTGGTTAAAATTTCATGATAAACGAAGATAAAAAAGACTTTCAAATAAAGCTTGGGAGTTACTTTATGAATTGTCTTTATTTATCTTATTGTATTTGGATTCTTTTTCCTATTTAGATTAGGACTTTTAATTTAATTAAGATTTAACTATTTCAAAATTCTAATGCTAGATAGATTATAACAATTATACAAGTTATAATTAGGAATCATTTCATACAAAAAAATTTAGTTTTAATTAGGAATTCTTTTCTATAAAAGATTTTAGAACTAATATAAATAGGATGTCAAGTTTATTTTAAAATGAAAATTATTTTTTAGACTTTTAATAAATAACTATAGAGTTTTCTCTAAATTTCTCCACAACTTAGGTTTGTAGCTTTAAGACTTGAAAACCCTAACTTCTATTCACACCATACGCCACATCAACTAATATTAGAGCAGGTTGGTCTCTTTTATGGATGAAAACAATAGCAACCCACTCCACAAAGCAAGAATGGAGGCCCTCTGGTGTGTTGTGTAGGCTCCAAAGCAGAAACTAGATCATTTTGATTGTTTAGAGCAAATCATAGCAGATTTAGCTCAATTAAAGGGTAGTGCAAACAAGGATTGTGAAGAGAAGAGGAACTTGCCTGGAGACTTACCTCGAGACAGGCCAAACCCCAGCCATATTCCTGAATTTGATGAGATTCCCTTAATAGGAGATTTTCGAAGAAAAGAGTTATTAACTGGTTGACAAAGTTGGAAGCTTAATTTTATTTCAACAAAGTTCCTTATCATCAAAAGGTAGGACTTACGGAAAACAAACTTTTTTATGGTGCTAGAGAATGGTGGTTTGAATTTCTAGAAGTTAGAACTCGTATTGGTATGCATTTAATTTATCTTGGTAAGATTTGAGACAATTATTAATTTTGAAATTCATACAAGATGATTATGAAGAAATTTTATATTAGATAGAAAAACAACTAAATTATTATTATCTGTCTTATCTTCAAAAGGTAAGTAGAAAAAACATGGGGGAGTTTTGTGAAAATATTTTAAAGTTGTCTAATCATGTTGAAGATAATGTGACTAAAAAGGGTGTTGACAAGCCGTTTCAATATTTTAACCTTAAGTTAGAGAAGCTAGTGGCAAACGATGATCTTTCAGTTATGGATGAAGATCTAGCAATCAAGAACATGAAAGAGATGGTAATTTTTGACAATTCTCTTGAAGAAATTATGAAGAACTATCTTCGTATTCCTTTACATACAAACGTTGAAGTGTTGAAGATCATAGATGATGATGAACTCAAGTTTGAAGTAAAAGAATGTGGAAAGAAACTAAAAAATAACTGCATAGGAAGAGAAAATATAACACTAGATATGAATTTTTCTTTTGCATTTATACATCATAAATTAAATTTTGAAGTTTACATTCAAAGACAAGCAACTTCATGAATAGACTATCTACAATGTTATATTTGAAATATCTATTCTTTTAGAGTGGTCGAGTTCAATTTCTAATATGCAACTTGAGGGCGAGATTTTTTAAAATAGAAGGGAATGACATGAAAAGTTTCTTCCATATTCTTGGCGTAATAATATTTATTGCATTATTTCATTAATGATTAAGATTTTTAGGTTTTTAGTTTAAGAAGTGTCTAAGATACAGTTTGGTATATACATAACTTTTAATTTGACTATTGGATTGTATTGAAATTTTGATAAAAGATTATGAAAGCCTTGTTTCCCATTAAAATTTCATAATGATTAGAGATCAAGAAAACATTCAAATAAGGCTCAGAAGTTATTATGCGAGATTGTCTTTATTTATCTTGTTGTATTTTGATTCTTTTTCCTATTTAGATAAGAAATTTTAATTTAATTAGAATTTTACTATTTAAAAATCCCAATGCTAAATGGATTCTATCAATTAAGTTTTAATGAGAAATCATTTTCTGTAAATGATTTTAGAACTAATATAAATAGGGATGTTAGGTTTATTTTAAGATGAAGACTATTATTTAAACTTTTAATAAAATATTAGAGATTTATCTCTAAATTTCTCTACAGCCTTAAGAGTCTGAGAACCGTAGTTTTTATTCACATTATATGCCTTAGTCATGAATTCCTTTATTAATTTTCATTTCTTCATAGGGAAGGTCATCAGCAACATACTGTACCCTAGAAGTTGGGTTTGGTCATTTTGTTTGAAGAGCAGAGCAGTGCCCATTGTATTATTCCCTCTGAAATCTCTGAAATCTACGAGTATTTTAATTTTTCAACTTAATTCATAACAATAGGACAAACATGTTGAATGTTCAAGGGTTCCAGAAGTAAATCATTTTTGAGAATGTTAGTCAAATAAGTTCAAGTGCATGCATGCAAGTTATTGTTGAGCTTTTTTTAATTTTTAGTTCTATGTTACTGTGTACTTGTTACCTTGCCAAGTGCAAAACCTGATTTCACTACCTGGTTGAGCATTAGTGCAAAGGACTATATTTATAGGATGCCAAGAATGCAATAAAAAACAAATTGTACCTGAAATATCTTGAAAAATTGATAGTTGTCATAACTCTCTCTAATGGTGTTGACAACATTTTCCAGCTGAAATAGGGCGTGCTTATCAATCATGGGAAGATCATTGTACGAAATAGCATTGCCAGCCTGCTAATAGCAAAGTCTTCAATATAGTGGGCAGAGCAAGAGGGGTGTAAATATGGTAATGGCTCTAGCTATGTCAGAACTGCATAGCTTTATTTTCCATAATAAAACTGCCTTCAAAATCAAGAGTTCCAATTATACGAGGAAAGCTGAATTTACCTCCCAGTCATGCAGATTTCCCAAAAGGTATCTCAAAGTTCCTCGAAGCTTCCTATATATGTCAGAAATTTGCCGAAGGACTTGAGTACCGATCATGACATCACCTGTATAATCTACACTAGAAACCCAGAGTCGCAAGACATCAGCGCCATAGCCAGGTGCTTCCTGCCAAGAGCAGAAATAAATTTTAGTAATAAATCATTTACATGAGAAAACATCCACAGAAAATGTCTTGAATTATTATGCACCATTACTAACCTTTGAGTTTCTTCCTCCTTCAATTATAGTATGTGGATCTACAACATTACCCAATGATTTGCTCATCTTACAACCTTTCTCATCCAATACAAATCCATGAGTAATAACACTAGTATATGGAGCCTTTCCTGTAGAAAGAGAAGCAACAGAATGAATTCATTTTCAAGACAGAAATTTATGTTTAAGCGGGCATTTTACTGAGTTAGGGACATAAGTTTTTCTGTAGAAGTCTTGGGGGCATATGATATAAAATGAATGAAAAGAACCTGATGACATACATGTTTACCAACATAGCAGAAACAAAAATAACAGTTATAAGGATTCATTTTCAAGACAGAAAAACAATTTCTTCAGAAAACAAAAGAAGCATCATCATAGCATTTTTCAACTCCAATTAGATCAGATGGCTGTTACCTTTTGTAGCAATACTAGTTAACAGGGAGCTCTGGAACCACCCACGATGTTGATCTGTACCTTCAAGATACAAGTCTGCAGGAAATTTAGGGGCACCACTTTTTCCCAACACAGCAGCCCATGAAGAACCTGAAATCGCAGTGAGCAACAAATAAATTTAAGAAAGCTAGCATAGAAAATAGGCGGGGCAAGTAAAAGCACGGACATCTCAAACCACAACAGAAAAATTTGTAAACTTTAAGCAGGATAATACAAATGATGCAGCTATGGAGCAACAGAAAAGCAAAAATTTATTAAGAGAAGCAACGCAACACAATTAGAGTGAAGCAGAGAAAGCACAAGCGTGCAAAAATTAAGCAACTGAATCCAAGTGGGCTTCATTATAAACTTGCAGGCTTCACGATGGTCAAAAGTCACTGAAAGTTCAACATTTACCCACCCTCCTGTCCCTTTTAATGGAAGTTAACGACAAAATGTTCCCAGATTAACATCAATCATTGAAAAAAAGATTGAAGTATTTTGTTACACATGTTCCAAAACATTTCCAAACCAGGTCAATCATAGACAAGATACCTTTTCTAAGAGGTACAACTTAAGTGCTTGCCAGGAATTGTAATAATAATAACCCTTATTTTATCTCAACTATCTTCCACTCATGTTCATTACAAGTCTAATCCCCCCTTTTAGCATGTGAAGAAGAAGCCATTAAAATATCCGTACAGCAATAAGAAGTAACATGAAACTGCTATATTTCATACAAACAGAAAAATATAATATGGACATTGTCAAATGGAAAAGTTTTGCAGTACAATAACACAGTACTCTGTGAGTACGTTCATGGTAAAGGTCTGTAATCTACGTAGTCCTATAATACCTGAATCAAACCAGACATCCATTGTGTCCATCCCTTTTTCATAATCTGATGCTTGATCACGATATTTTTCTGGGAGCAAATCCTCCACTTTCATATACCACCATGCGTCACTACCCTTGAGGGCTATTATAGCTGCAGATGGTGATAAGAAAAAATAAAGCCAGGATCACAAACTGAGCTCTAAGGGGATCTATCACTAGTCAAATAGGAGGCTAAGTCTGCATATTAAAAAACGACAAAAGAAATAGAAAGAAGAAGATGCGACCTGATACAAATGGAAGTAATTGGAGGGGAAAAAAAATTATGGATGCAGAAATATCATTACAGTAAAATGATTATTCACCATTATCTACTTCAAACCAGAGATTAAATTTAAAGAAAAAGGAAAAAAAAGGGGGGGGGGGCAGAGTTTTTGTTGTTTTAGAAGACTTACTATGTAAAACGATTATCCCAAAAGTTAACAGACCAGATTGACAAAGTCAAACTAGAAAAACAAAATCTGCAGATAAACCCCAAAACATCTCATATGAAGTCTGAAGTTACTGTTTCCTGTTTGCATTATTTGTTTCCTACTTAGGACTTTTAATTTAATTAGTATTTTACTATTTAGAAATCCTAATACTAGATGAATTTTATTAATTAGGTAAGTTTTAATTTGAAATCTTTTCGTATAAAGGATTTTAATTTTAATTAGGAATCCTTTTCTATAAAGGATTTTAAGACTAATAAAAATAGGGTGTATAGTTTATTTTATAGAGATGAAGACTATTATTTAGATTTAATAAAAATATTAGAGAATTTTCTCTAGATTTCTCTACAGTTGGGCCAATAAACTTAGGGTCTGAGAACCCTAATTTTATCTTCGTTATACACTGCTTTAGATGGTACCAAAGCAGGTCAGCATCTACATCGTTGGCAAACCATGAAGATAATCATGGAGCAATTGATGGCAACCATCTCCATGATGGTGATCAGAGGATGTGGGTTGTTTGGGATCAGCTACATTATCATTCAGTAGTGATAGCATTTTTAGAGGGGTGAATGCAAACCAGGTTTGGTGACATCAATGCTAGATTTGATGACCTTACAACTAGACTTGAGGCATTAGGGCTACACGCAAACATGAACCGGGAAAGAAAAGAGGCACGCGTCAGGAATGAAGCCCGCTGCCAACCTGTCACAAAACCAATTCATGCAAATCCTCACGATCATTATGATTACGGGTATTCATCTGATGAAGAAGATCTATTTTGGCTTATAAGAGGCATAAACAAGAATCACAAAGAGAGAAACACACTTGAAGACTTACTTCAGGTCGACCTTATCTTAGACCTATTCCTAAAATTCCTACTAGACAACCATTTGTCTAAGAGTTGGTGAAGATGAACTTGATGGAGGCTGATGAACCTTGTCAGATCAAGACAAACAACCACAACCAGAGAGACAAATTAATCAACGTGATTGAAGGTTAGGATGAGTGAGAACCTTTCAACGACAAGGATATTCTATATGAACCTAATAGAGACGATGAAGAAGATTAATATGATGATAAAGATCTTCCAAACAAGGAAATGGAGGACCCGGTGCTTTTTGACAAGTTTTTTAGGGATATTATGGAAGATTATTTTGGTGTTCCTTTAAATACAAAAATTGAAGTATTGTAGGGCATAAATAATGATGAAATCAAGTTTGATGTAGAGAAATATGGGAATGAATTACACGAGGAATTCAATGGAATTGAAAGTATAACATCAAATATGAATTTTTCTTTATTATACACACCATAAATTAAAATTTGAAATTTACAGGTCAAAGACATTCTACTTCATAAATAAATTAGCTATAATATTATATTCGAAGTATTTGTTCATTTGGAATGGAAGAGTTCAATTTCTAGCAGACAACTCGAGGACAAGTTTTCCTCAAATGAAGGATACTAATGAAGAACAATTATCTCAGGGGTTATTGGGTTAGATTGACAGGGTCAAACCTAAAAAAAAATCCATAAAAAACCTGAAAACATCTCATATGAAGCTTGAAGTTATATTTTTAATTATTTTCCTAGTTAATTTTGGATTTCAATTATTTGTTTCCTACTTAGCTTAGAACTTTTAATTTAATTACTATTTTACTATTTAGAAATCCTAATGCTAAATGGATTCTATTAATTAGGTAAGTTTTAATTAAGAATTATTTTCTATAAAAGATTTTAATTTTAATTTTAATTAGGAATCCTTTTACATAAAAGGATTTTAGAACTAATATAAATAGGATGTCTGGTTTATTTTATAAAGTTGAAAACTATTATTCAAATTTAATAAAAATACTAGAGAGTTTTCTCTATATTTCTCTACAGATAAGTCTATAACCTTGAGGCTTAAAAACTCTAGTTTTATCTTCCTTATATGTTTCATCACTTACATTTGATATGGTCAATAGTCTCTTCATTCAAAAGTGGTTCCTTTGTCTTCAAATGGTAAAAGACTGGAATGGGGACACCCCATGTCCTTTGTCTTGATATGCACCAGTCAGAGCGGCTTGAAGTCATTGCAGTTATTCTGTTTTCTCCCTGAAGAACGGCCATACATTTAAACAAGAGATCACCAATTAGATACAGTGTCATTGGTAAAATGACAAACAGAAGCTGAAAATAAATCCAAATATAAAAAACAACGTAAGTAAAAATCACAAGCTCTAATTTTTTTCCCTTGCATCATTCTCGACAATCATGAAAAACACACTTTAATAATTGCACTGCAGTGAATAAACAATTACACTACTAAAACTTTAGAACTAAATCTATTAAGAAAAACTCCCAAAAAGAGGTCAAGCTTAAGGCTTTCACATAAGTGACAATCCTCTGACTGAAAAATTTTGGGAAATAGCAGCACCTAGCATGAGATATGGAAACTTCAAACATGCTCAATCGAACCTTGATGGAAGAACCACCTTGGTGTCATATTCATGGTTTTGCTAACAAACTGTATGTTGAAAAAACACCTCCATTTAAGCACATGCCAAATATGATGGACTTGGTAGGAAGAGTATAGACATGAACAGGATTTGCATGGTTAAACAGGAAAACTCAGCTAAACTCTGAAACAGAGGCAATTGCTTGGGTTTCATAAATTAGTTCTGTGGCTAAGTGAGGGGCATTAAACAGAGGCCTTTCATTTGACAATCCGAATCAATTTTGGAAACCACAAAGCCATGCAATACATCCAGGTATCTATTCACTTCTGCATTGAAATTTTTCTCCACCACAATCTAGGTGAAGAATTCTGACATTAAAAAATGAAATTCCCCAGGATAAAAGTTATATCTGCTTCAAGAACTAAGTTTCCAAAACTTGTCACATCACTACTTGCTGACATCCTTTCAAAGGAGATGAGGTATTCAGGTATGAAAACACCCAAAAGTGAAACTATGAAAATGCATACTATACAAATAAAGTTATATTGTCCCATGGTCCTAGAGAAGAAACCATGTAAAAAAAAAACAAGCAAAAAGAAGGATTCGCACTGCCTCTACTATTTCCACTACATCAAAAATTGAAAATACAGAAAATATGCCTTATTGATAATGAAAAGTGATGATAACAGAAATCACAAAAAGGAGGATTCACACTGCCTTCACTATTCCCACTATATCAAACATTGAAAATACAGAAAATATGGAATATTACTAAATAGGAAAATATGCCTTATTACTAATGAATATGATGATAACAGAAATCACATAACTTCCATAAAGTAATCACATGGTGCAGAGGGCATAATTAAACATAGTGAGTTATCAACAGTAGGAATGCAAGCATAGAAAGAGCCTAGCATATTGAATCAGAATACAACCAAAGCAACTATGCATCAAAACCTGAGGTGGAATCCATTTCACTTGGCTAATTGCCTCCATAGCTGACTGGCGAAACCCTTCTACTGAAGCAAACCATTGCTCAGTGGCTCTGAATATTGTGGGCTTTTTAGTTCGCCAATCATATGGATAGGTGTGCTCTGCATAAGAGAAAAGACATATTCTTATACACTAGCATGGTTAGTTATACTCATAGTAGAAACATGTTACCAGATGGGAAATATTAACTTTCCCATCACTTAAAAGGGAAAGAGTCTAACTTACGATATGATTCCTCCATGATAAGGAGCATTTGTTCATCCAGGTATTTCATGACAGCAATATTTCCATCCCCAAGTACATCAAGTCCACTAAACTGCACGGCTTCTTCAGTAAACTTCCCGTCATCATCTACAGGGGATATTATAGGTAGTCCATATTTCAGGCCAGTTACATAATCCTCCCGACCATGACCAGGAGCTGTATGCACCAGTCCAGTTCCTGATTCTGTTGTAATATAATCCCCACCAATGACAACTGGGCATTCCCTCTTATCTATTGGATGAATATACCTGAAACCAAAATTCAAAATCAGATATTAGTCTCTGAATAATAATATTACTTAATCATCCATACATTGTGGATTGTGAATTCAGTTGTTTTACTCATATAAAAAAGACATCATGTCATTGAGGAAAGATCAAATCAGTTACATTCCATGAGCTTTTTCTCATATAAATACACATTATTTTTCATATCTTACCGGCAGTTTTCAAGATCTGAACCTAACAGTGTTTTTCTGACAACTAGTTTCACACCCCATTTTGCTTCTAGTGTTGGCACAAGATCAGATGCTACTATAAGAAAAGGTTTCTTCTGTTCCTTCAGAACATGTCCAAGCCTTTGTTTCTTATTTCCAGAGGATGCAGAAGCATCTCCTGAGAATGACTGCACTTCAATTACAGCATATTGAAGCTTGGCATTGACAGCAACGGCTGAGAGAACATACCCCAAAAAGATTAGGAGAGAGAATTAAACAACTGAAGTTATGTGCAAATGAACTACTCATTTTATCCAACAAGGCCCAAAAACCTCTTTAACAAGCTGAACAAATCTCAGCTCATTTTTTTTTTGGTTTTGTTTTTTTTGGGGGGGCGGGGTGTGGATGGGCAATGAGCACGTTAATTCTTGAAAAAACTACATGAACAAACGACGGTAGGATCAGCACCCTCTGCATTTCACCAGCAAGTATGAATTTACCAAACTGCATTGATGTCACTATTCAAATGGACAAATCCAAAATAATCACACAAGAAAGGCATTTCTAAGCTGCTCAACCAAAAAAATAGATCAATAAAGATCTTAACCAAAGAGATAAAAAAACCTCTGCAATAAACACAAGCAAAAAATAAAATCATGGCTCATCATGTAGGTCTAATTTGTCTCAGACTCCCAAAAAAAAATTAATGCTATTACCTGTTTCAAGGGATAAAGCAGTGTTCAGAAGAAAAAAAACATGCAATGTTAAGGATATACTTACTGCTTAACCTAATGGTGGCCAAATTCAAGGTGGTTGGAAAAATTCACTTTGGTGGCAGTTAGCATAGGCAACATGAAGTTCAACCAGCTATTAATGACCATTAATACATGACGATATCTAAATGATCCCCCCACAGAGGCATGCATACCAAGGCATCAAACTGATTAAATTGTTAAAATATCGAATGGATGTACATAGTTTGACAAAACAACATAACCGCAAATTCCAGATTCAGGCATGAGATGTGAAATTAAAAACAACTGCCTTAAATTAGTAGAACAAAAGGGATGAACCACCTATGCAAATACTGACATCATATGCAATAAATGAGTTGCAAGCCCGACTAGGTAAAGACTCACCAGCGTTGGCCGGAACAGTCCAGGGAGTTGTAGTCCATATGGCCAGGCACAAATCTGGAAAGAATTCCTCTAATAACCCATCTGAAGTTGGAGGTGCGCTCACTACTCTAAATATGGCATATATGCTTTTTGAAACATGGCCCTCTGGATACTGCAGAAAAAACAACTTCCAATTAGTTAACCAGCAGAATGATACCATGCGAATTCTGAAAGATAGGACAAGTTCGTGAAAAATGGTTTTGAGACTTTATAAGAAACTTGCTATAGGTTTAAACCTCCCATCACAACTTTAAATCATGAAACGTGGCTTCAAAAGCAGAGTAGGGAAAGAAATTCCAGACCATACATAGAAAGTCATAATAATTGCTAAATGATGGTTTATATACCATTGAGTAGAAAAATCTGAAGACATTGCTTTCAAGCGCTAACCAGAAGAAGGATTGTACACATAAGACTAAAATTAAGCAAGCATATCTAAATCTGAAGATATTGTTTCTAAGCGCTAACCAAAACAAGGATTGTACAGATAAGAAAGAGTAAAATTAGCAAACATATTCGGATACAGTTTATTGTACCAATGTACTCAGAAACCATCAATAGAGCACATTAGAAGTCTTATCAGTTCTATAAATTAAGAATGCATAAACAAAATTTCTTTCAGTGAGGTACAACATTTAGAAGTCTTATCAGTTCAAAATATTAAGAATGCATAAACACAATTTCTTTCAGTGAGGCACAACATAAAACCAAGAAAAGAACATGCTAGTATGCAAGAGGACTTAATATACCTCCAACTCAGCCTCTGCAAGAGCAGTACGTGATGAAGGACTCCAGTGAACTGGTTTCCTGCCCCTATAAATGTATCCTTGAAAGGCCATCTGGCCAAACACTTCAATCTATCAAAAAAATAAAATGATACAATTTCTTAGAAAGTTAACCATAACAAAAACCTACCAGAAAATTATGCATTGATAACAAGAAAAAGATGATAATTCTTTAAACAGCATTAGCAATTTGATCCATCGTATTTCACTTGAGTTAGAAATTACTGAAATTCATTACATTGCACTTGTCTAGGCACCTGAAATGCACCAACTTACACACAAAAAAGTAAACTTTTGAATTAGTATTTTGGTTTTAACTTTTATGCATGCAAGTGCAATGGAGAAAAGTTGTACCAGCTACCTGAGCAGCTTCATATTCTGGATCTAGGGTTAGATAAGGCCTTTCCCAGTCTCCCCACACTCCAAAGCGCTGCAAGCATCAACTTAACAATGAAAAAAAAAAACCTAGCAAATAAGTAAATCAACTAAAAATGTCACTACGCCAACTCTTGAAAGATAATCAAACCATGTCTATTAGATAAATTTACTGGTTAATAAACAGAAAATGTCAATACTTAGCAAACGGCAGACAAATAGGCTACAACCTTAAATGATGCCATCTGAGTTTTGACAGTTGCTTTAGCAAATTTGGCTGCCTTAGCTCTTAATTTTGATTGTGTCAGATCCTTTCTTGCTTCCTGATCCATTGACTGCAGAACTGTGTGATTCATAATGACAGTTAACTTGCAATTGTTTAACTCAACTTTTCTTTAAATTTCCACTTTTTTTTATCCAAAGAATTGATTTGGCAACAATGACACTCCAAAAAAAACTAAACAGGGTTTCATAATTGATGTTATTAAAGCACAAAATACAACATCTAGTATAATACTATATAGTTAAATCATCAGCACCAGTATAATTTTTTTATACAACTTTCAAATTTCACAGTTATAACCAAGCTCTGGCACCTGAAATTGTAACATAGGAATCAACACATCATGGTAAGATCTTGTTTACTGCAGGAAAAATTAATTGCTAAGAAGAACAAGCACAAGAAAAAGTAACAATGCTTGCCTTTCAACTCAATTGGCAAGCCATGACAATCCCAACCAGGCACATAATGAACTTTGTAATTTTGAAGAATCTGACAATATTATATAAAAAAAATTAGATAGATCATTTTACTCTGGATTAAATCAGAAGAGGAAGCTAAATTATTTCCAGATTAATCACTGCCCAAAGGCTCTTGCATACACCATGATAAATCTCTCGATGATGGCCAGCATTCTCAAGTTACTGATGTTATTACATAGCCAATATGTGCACGTGCAAAAATGACATCAATGTATGATCACAAGAATCAAGAAAAAAATACAGCCATTGAGCATGAAATGGTGGATAGTTTATCAGATTTGCAGTCCTCTTGCTTTCCTTTGTTTTCTAGTGTTTGATCCATTTCAGCAAGGAAACATGGTAAAGCCCATAAATTTAGCGATTCTTATCATTTCTTTTTTACTTTAAATTAAATTAATTACATGTTGAAACTTTTATGAATTGGAATTCATCATTTTATCTAATAACTCGATTTCTGATGGTCAGGTTTCTTGTTATTAATAATAATAATAATAAAGCATATAGGAACTTGGAGTAATACCTAAATTTATAAGTAGGGAAGGGAACACACCTTATAACGGTTAATTACATCCTTCAAGATCTTATTAAGGGCGTGACCCATGTGTAACTCGCCATTGGCATAAGGCGGGCCATCATGAAGAACAAAATGTTCCTGACAAAGTAACTAAAGAGTGAGCTAATTTTTTCATACCACATATGAAAACATACACACGAGGACAGCAACAAAACCACCCACCCCTTCATTCTTATCAACTACTCTCTTGAACACTTGATTATCTTCCCATAGTTTCTGAATCTCAGGCTCCCTCACCAAAGCATTTGCTCTCATCCCAAACGTTGTCTTAGGTAAATCAACTGTATGCTTGTACCTCCCTTCTTCTTGGTTTTCCCCTAAAGCCAAACAATCTAATTAGTTGGATAAAAACACTTGTAGCCCTTAGTGAATGATTACAATTATGGATATCTCGAGCTTTATCGTCTGAAAAACACGCAAACGTGATCATCTAAGTAATAAAGAGGGGGTAAAATACGCACCCCCCGATGCTTTTTTTGCAGCCATAACCGGTCCTCGAGATCTTTGCTTTGAAGAGGGAAAAAAATCGTCACTAGAACTCGTAGAATAGTTCGTAACAGTGCTAAAGAGAGAGAGAACGCTTCCTCTTCGATAAAATAAGTCAACAGAAGTGGCAGTCCTCAACGAAGAAGAACAACTACTTCTTCGCAACAGTACCTGAATTAAATTAATCAAACAATACAAGACAAAGTCAACACTAGTAAATTAAGTAGAAAATCCTAGCAATGGGACATTTTATCGAACACAAGATGTGCCATAAAGACAGATAGCACAAGGTAACAGACGAATAAAGGTGAGAAGGTGTGTGAATTGTTTCGTACTCTATGAGAAGCAGAGTGAATCATGGCTACTGTGGCTGCTTCGCTAGGAGTGAATACTGAAGAATTTGCAGCTAAAGATTTTCGAAGAAGGGACATTTTGTAAGCTACTCTCTGTTTAAGTTCATTTCTTTTTTCTTCATTCTTTATGCATAGAGAGAGAGAGTGTGAAATAAATAATAAAGAGAAGGAAACTGGGGAGTTTGTGGATAAATGAATCAAAACCACACAGCTTCTGCTTCTCTCTCCCTCACCGTTCTAAAACAGTTCTAAACTATTTATTGCCGCCGGTTACTTTTTTATAATATTATTAAATTCAAATACGGTCGATATAATAACCCATAGCTCTAGTTGCAAGAGAGAGTGAAATAAATAAATAAATAATAAAGAGAAGGGAACTGGGAAGTTTGTGGATAAATGAATCAAAACCACACAGCTTCTGCTTCTCTCTCCCTCACCGTTCTAAAACAGTTCTAAACTATTTATTGCCGCCGGTTACTTTTTTATAATATTATTAAATTCAAATACGGTCGATATAATAACCCATAGCTCTAGTTGCTGTTCTAATTAGGGTTTTAAAATAATTTGTGTGGAAGTTAATTCGGTGTAACAAAATCAACATGGTGGGTGGAACTAGTTTATTTTTTATAAAAAATATTAATTTAATATTTTTTATAAAAAATATTAAAAAATTATATTTTAGATTTAGCCGATAAAACCGTGTAATTTATAGTATAATTTTTAATAACTTTATTTTTTTAATTTTATTTTTTAATTAATTAATTGTAAAAATAAATATTTATAGAAAAAATAGCAAATAAGATTATCAAGTTGAAATATGTTTTTTTTTTAAATTGTTGTTTCTCATTTATGTAATTTTTTTTCTTTGGACAGCAAAAATTGTTTTTTATTAACAACACAATGAAATTCATTAAATAAAAAACAACAGAAAAAAAACAAATTCCTTAAAATATATAGATTTGAAATAAAAAAGAAAGAGAGTATATTAAAAACAAATCTAAAATTTCTTATTCAAGTATTTATTTTACTTTTGATGGAAATGTTTTTTTTTAAAATCATTATAATCTTGAAAGCAAGCTTGAATTAAAAAATAAATCATGAATTGATCATCTCCTAGCAACCACATGAAATAATAAAAAATTTTAAAATTTGAAAAATATAATAAAATCACGTAAAAATCTATTAAAATTTTAAATAATAGAATAATTATTTTCATTGAATATTCATAAGGTTTTTGTTGTGCGTATTAGGTACATAATAATTGGAAAAAAAAATTCATTCTTATAAAAACTCATAATATTATATAATAATCATGAAAAGATAAATAATAATTGAAATATAATTTCAATTTTTTTTATGGTACCTTTAAATCAAAATACAAAAAAACATAAAAAAGGTAGGGCTCCAAGGTCAAATGGAAGGCACACGCTCTCTTGGCTTTCCTTTTTTTTTTTTTTTTATTCAAGGAGCAAACGGCATGTTTTATGCAATAAAATAATGTACATGCTGTGTCCTTTGCTTATTTAAATTTTAACCACAAGAATAGTAGTTAAAAAATCAAGTTAGAATTTTTTAATTTAAAAAATTATTTTCAACATATTTATATTTAAAAATATTCACTAAATATTATTCTAATTTTAAAAAATTAATTTCTCAATTTAAAAAACTTTTAAATTAGTCAATAAATATAAAATTAGACTATTTTTTCTCAATTCTAATTTATTTTTTCTAACGAAATAAAAATTCAAAACATATTAATAGAACTTTTCTCATTAACTAAAATCTATGAACACTAAAATTATTTTTTTTTATTATTGAAATATTATCAACTAACAAATTTTTCTTTTATTTTTTAAACCCAAGTACCGAAAAATAAATACAATAAAGTTTTAAAGAAAAACAAAAGTTTTAAAACTAAAGGGATAGTAAACTTAGCAAAAGTAAAATAGATCAACCAAGAAGTATAATTTAATGTGAATTTAAGATTGGCCATGTGTTTTTCTTTTTTATTTTTTGGTCCATTTCTCTTAATTGTGTCTTATACTCTAAATCTAAATTATATCTCATTAAAATTAAATTAGCCTCTAACCAAGTTTCAAAATCTAACAAAAACCTTTAACTCTCCAGAGAACACAAAAATAATGGATTATCAACTTCACATACACTAAAAACGACACACTAACAAACATAATCGTGAAACAATTATTGATAAAAACAATAAAAAAAAAACAATTGCAATTTACCATAAAAAGTTGAAAGTGTGAATGGTAAGGCTGTACAATGAAAAACTTCAACTTTTGAAAAACTTCAACTTTTTTAGGGTTAGTTTGTTTTTATATTTTAAAAATATTTTTAAAAAAATTAAATTAAATTAAATTTATTTTTTTATTTGCTTCAAATTAAATTTTTTTGGTGTTTTTAGATCATTTTGATATATTTTCAAACAAAAAAACTTTAAAAAACAACCGCTGCCATATTTTCAAATACCTTCTTATTTTGACCATCTTTAAAACATAATGTAAACTTTAAAAAACAACCGCTGTCATATTTTCAAATAACTTCTTAGTTTATTTTGACCATCTTTAAAACATAATGTAATTCATATTTATTTCAATATTTATTATGGCTATAAGGGTTGACAACCTAACTTGACATGTCAACTATAATTTATTGATTTAAAATCTAGCTAAAACAATTATAATAAAAGCTAAATGGCATGGAGAAATTATTATACATTAAGAAATTTTTTATTGTGCATTATAATAGTAATTTTATTTTTTCATTTCTCATCTTTTTACGAGACGTTTCTTTGGCTTCTATTTTCTCCAGCGAATGGATGACACTTGCGCCATTAAAGAGAAATGTTTGACATTTTCTTATGGATAAATCTAGTTATTCACGATCTTATGGATGCTTAGTCGTGTTTTTTTCACATGATGTGACGTGTGTAGATAAATAATTGTTGAATTGCCGCATTGTTTGTGTTTTTTTCTTTCTTTTCCCTCTCCTAACAATTAAAATGGACAATTGTCCTCTTTGTTTGTTATTTGTTAAATTAGACATATTTTCCATACCTAAGACGCTTGAGTCTGACATGTTTGCTTAACACAAGGTGCTTGCTCGGGTCTATGCTGGTAGCCAGGTCTAAGGCGCTTAGGTTTGCTAGGGCTAGGTGCTTGGATATAGCATGGTTCCAAATTCATATTACTTGGCCTTGACAAAGAATTGAGTGCAAATTTAAAAATTAACTCACTTTATTAGATTTAATAACATTATTAAAATATTCTCTATACTTTTACTATTTTTTCAAAAAAAATTAATATTGATTAGCCACAAAACATGGATAATAAACTAGTGATGTATAAAAAAAACTCATTTTTTTTTCTAAAAAATAATGTTTTTTCAAGTTTTTTTTAAAACTAGATTAATTTAGATAAATTTATTTTTTTCACAACCCAAACCTTTAACCGTAACAAGTTTTATGAGGGTGTAATTTATAGAAGTATAAAAAAAAAGTTAAAAAATAATTAAATTATAAAAGATTTTTATAATTTTTTTTTATTAACATTATCAATCATGACGAACTCCAACATGAACTCTTATAACCAGCACTATTATATCTATTTATTATAATCAAAATTCATGATTAAGATCAATTATCAAATTTTAAATAAGAACTTTGAAAATGATAATTAAAATCCTATGTCTGTGACTTTATGGTAGTCATGATAGCTCATGAATATAACAATTTCATGTCATCTACTAGGTGAAGTTTTAGTATTTAAATTTGGAGCTTGTTTAATAATGTAGTTGTGGTTGCTTTATAAATAATTTTTTATATTAAAATATATGTTAATGATATTTTTTTATTTTTTAAAAATAATTTTTGATATTAGTACATCAAAATAATTTTAAAATACTAAAAATATATTAATTTAAAGTAAATAAAAAATAAAAATTTTTCTAATTTTTTTAAAATATTTTTAAAATACAAAAATAAATAAGTCCATTTTGCAGTCGCTTTGCAATGATATCATCCAAGAAGGATGGGGATGTGGTGATAAGGTGAAGGTTTTAATGGGATAAAACTAGAAAAAAACTTAGATTAATTTAAATCTTGAATTTTATTTAATTATGGTATCCGTGAAAGAAAAGATTGTGTTCATACTAGCAATTGAGATTAAATTAATGGGATTTATGGGTTTGTTGAGAAATCAATGCATTGAAATTTTATCATGTTTTTTTTTTTTTACAGAATAAAATGTTTCTTTATTGATTTTATGTTTTATTTTTATTAATTTCAATGTTTAAGTCTTTAGATTTTTAATACTTTCTGGATGATTTGAGACATTCCATGAACTTCAAGGATGGGACTAAAATTTACAGATATTTTCAGTTGATGGTCCGCCTTGTTTAATTTACCTTGGCTAACGTTTATAATAGTTTCCATGTACGTCATCATGTTCCCTTTCAGTCCTTATATGAAAATATTTCAATGTTAATAAAGTTTATATGCGTTCGTAAATTAACCACAAAATAAATAAAAAACCTGAAGGGCCGGTGAAAACATTATAGCCCAAGAGTTACAGTGTTTTCTTTTCCTTTTCCTTTTTTTTTTTAATATTGTTGAAGCTGACTGGCTAGAACATAACTAATAAACAACATGTTATTTATCATTATAGATGATGCATCATCAATTTTCTCTTAAAAAAATATATAATGTGTCTCCATCCATTTGAAAAAAACAAAAAGGAAGAAGAAGGTCAAAGCACACTAGCCTACGCTTCTTGTTAATGGGTTGGGTCAATCATGCACATGCTTTTAATTTTTTTTGCTTATATATATTTTTATTTTTTTATTAAAATTCATTCAAATAAATTAATTAAAAATATATTGGAGATATCATTTTATTAAATACAATTTAATTTTTATTTTGCTTTTGAATAAAATTGTAAGATTTTTTCTTATAACACTAGCTAATGCTTCTATTTTTACAGTTTTTCGTGATTTTTTTCTTAAAATTTATTTAGTGGTTTTTCTGCTCATATCTATTTATATTATTATATGATTAAATAAAAAATAAATTTTAATTAAACCCAGATGATTTCATAACCCAGGTCAAGGATTTGAAAAATTAACATAAACTAATCCCGATCAATTTAAAATATTATCGTTTTAATATCAAGAAAAATAACACAATTTTACGTTTTTTTTAATCAGACTAGATTTTAACTATATTGATCTAGTTATATTTAGACATGTCAGGTAATTGGGTGAAATTAAAATAACTCTTATATAGTTTATTTTAAAATGTAAATTAAAAAAAAAAAAATCAGGTTGATTTGCTGGGAAGTCCTGCGGGCTACATTTTCACCCAGCAGAGTAATGGCTATCCCAGCTGATGTTTTGTTCATCTTAAAATTGTTT